ATAATTTCTCTGTAATGTTACAGTGGAATCTTGGAAAAACATAATGTTCCTCCTGTTATGTGCAATAGATTCTTCTTTAATTACAGCAGCTAAAAAAAGCTTCTATCTTTATAGCTGTGGAACCAAAGCGACGAAGTTTATGGTCTCTCACTGTCAGCAGGTTTATGGAAAATTTATAGTATATGTTCTAAGTTCTGAGTTTACCATTTTTTGTTGGAATATTTACTAAAACTAGTGCTGAAAAAAGCCCATTATAAGATTAGGAGTTTTGCTATCTTTAAAGATTCCTATAATTTGAGTAGTCTTTGTGTAGTGTTTTTACTTTCATCTCCTTTTCCCTCAAACTGCTATTTTATCTTGTCCAGAATCAAGAATCTGTTCAGGCTATTTCTTCCTCCTTTTCTTTTTCTTTAATCTCCCTATAACTGAACTTATTTTGTTACCATTCCCTGACTGGCTTTCAGGACTTTTAGTTAATAGAAAATTGCTGATGGCACTGGAAATCCCCAAAACTTCTTTTGGTTATTTAGGTAAGTTAGAGTAATATTTTCTACAATTTTTGTTATCTATCCTTTTCCTTTTTCTCTTTCTGAGTCCATTTTGCTGGTGCCACATTATTTGCAATCAGTGAAAGGAGGCTACTTCTCTCTTTTTTTTTTTTTCTTCCCCAGCTTTGTTCCAGGTTTGAAGTGAAAATATGTTCATGTTGTCTGTTATGGTAAGAAACCTGAACTTGATTCAGTATCTTCCTGTTTGTAGCTGGTAAGGGTGTTGGACTGATGGTCCAGTTGAGCCAAACTGCGCTATACATGACTCTGCTACCTTGATCTGATCATTCTAGTTGTTTGTCAACAAAAAAAAAAAAAAAAAAGAAAAAAGAAAAAGAAAAAAGACAGAAATGTAAAAACTAGAAGCAAATTGTTCATCAATGAATCGAAATGAGCAGAGTTTGCCTTTAGAAACCTGTCTAAATATTCTTCAGCTGTAAATGATGCTAATTTAACCACAGAGCCACTGAAATGTGATTTAGTTTTAATGTTACTACATTTGGTATTTTATTAGTGTAATTTAGAGTAAATTCCTCACTCTGGAAAATCTGAGTTGTGCACTGGAACTCTGGCATATCTAGAAAAGGAAAATAGAACGGTTGACATTTTAAAAAGAAGAACACAGGATTTAATCAGTCACTTGCATTCATTTAATCAATTCATTTCTCATTTCCATGAGAAGGACAGTGTCTGAATCCTCACTGTTTCAGAAACTCATCTCTTGACTCAGTCTCACTAAAAATCACTGTGTGTGAAGAAGCAATTTCTGCTTTGACCTTCCTTGCCAACATGTCTGTGGTGCTCCTCAGTCACAGTGGACTGTCCCCTCCTGTTTTTTCAGTATTCATTAATTGTTACTTTCTCTTTCCTTCCTGTTTCTTCCCTATTTTAACATATACATACATACCGTATATGCATAAATCTGGATGGATCAAAGCCAGCTTAATTATTTGTATATTCCCAAACTTCAGAAATATAGCAAAAAAACAAATCTATACCTGATATAAATTTAGCAAATCTTCAGATTTTGTAGAACCAGTTTCCCTCTATTTTTTATGGGCATCTGAGGAAGACTGGGATAGACAACTTTCTCCTGTAGTATGTGCTCGGTAACCCCAAACCAATATTAGGCCTTCATTAAGGTGAGAGAAATACATAGGGCATCTTAGTTGCAGTTGAATACACATTAGTGGAGAAAATATCAGATCTGAGAAGGTAGATTTCCTGTTGACTAAGTTTTTTTTGAACCCTTCTGTCTAGCAGTGGAAATGAAGATGCTGCAGCCAATTCATGCTTTTATTTACTCTCTGTTGTTACTACATGTGATTTTTTTAAAAAATACACAGTGAACGAGGCAAGCCCTTCTGTACGAGAACTGCATATTTTTAAAGGCTTACATGAAGTGGAATTTAGCGAAACCAAATTTTTGCATAGACATTGTGTCCACTGGTAAAAAGTACCAAATATTACTGCTATATCCTGTACATATTTCTGTATTGTGCTCATAACATGTAAAACCTGACATCTAATAGATCAGAGTGATTATTATCTATTCTGATAAAAACCAGAGTGATTAAACTGGGTGGTGGAGTAAGTCCTGGCCTTTAAGCACAAAGACCAGGTTTTAGAAACTTAGGTCTCATTTTTCTGGGGGGTGAGCCCACAAGCAGATGCATCTAATACTATCTCTAAAGCAGGGTGAATTAGCAGCATGTGTTAATTTGGAGCAAGCAGGATAGTCATCACCGTGCAGGACAAGAAAAATAACCCCCTCTGATAATCTGTTGCATTTCATATGTTTTTAATATCTAAAAATCCCACATATAGCATGCAGAATCAAAAATTGATTTTTTGCAGTATACACAAATCAAAAATTCAACTTCTTCATGGGATTTGGCTTGCCTAACCCCCTGCCTCACCCTTGCCCTTTCTTGCTCTCTCGCTCGTCTTCCACTGAAAAATTAAGCCAAACATTACAGGGATTCCCAGGCAGCCCCTAAGACCTTGTTGGTGGCACTCACATTTTTCCTTCGGAAATGTGTACCAGGCTGTGCGCTGCAGGGATACTGCAGCCATCTATTTCTGCGCCCTTTTAGGGGGCAGGCCTGTAACTTTCCACACTGGCTTGTGGAAAGCTGCTTATAGGGTCCCAAGTTCAAATGGTATGGAGCAGAAGTGATGGTTCTTTTACTTAACCCTACAGTGTGTTTTAATACTGTTTGCATATGGTGGAAATCTTAAATATTTGTCTCCCTGGAAACACACAACCCTCCCAAAATAATTTATGAGGTTTTCCAAAACTGTATGCAAGGAGCACTGAGGGTGCGCAGGACTCACTCAGAAGTCAACTTTCTGTGTGCACACTTATATCTTCCATCTTCTTCATAACTATTATACTGGAGCATTTTATTGCATGTCAAGATAGTAATTCTAACATAGCATACATGTTGGATAATGCTTTAAATAAAAATTTAAAGTCCATTTTTTAGCATACTGTAGAAGTGGGTACTTCTTATGGCAGGCAGATTCACATTAATTCTCAGATTATGCAGTTTAATACGAGATAATGCTTTTTCTATGTATTACCGAAGCACGAAATGAAATCTATAAGAGTGACTGACCTTAAACTCGTAACTGCCATTCATTTCAGTCTGTGTAGCCCAGCAGACTGGCTGGTGAGAGCTATGCTTGCTTGCTGTTTTGTGAGTCTCTGCAGATGCACGTTCGCCCACTCTATGCAAACATGCACACGGTCTCTTTTTTTTCTCTCACACTGTCTGGCATATTTTCAGAATAACTCTTCGAAGACTTTCTGAACTGCTGGGTATGATTGTCTGATTATTATTTTTTTAAATGGGAACATGTTTAGTCCAGTGTTATTTAAACAAGCTTATCTCTTCGATCAAAGTCTACAATCTGAAATTTGAACAGGGCAGGGAGGGTGGCTGGGTGGGTGAAGAAATCTATCAAGTACATATTTATGTGTGTGTTGCTGTCTTAGCTGTGCGCCTGCGGAGGTACAAATGTATATTGCTTCAGAATAATCTTGCAAATATAAATAACTTTGGCTATTTCAGAAGTTCTGAAAACGTTGTATTTTTACTAAAACAAAACCATTTTTAGTAAACTTTCCTTGAAGCTATTAGTGACCTGCATATTCAGTTTTTTGGTTTCCTGGGTTTTTTGAAGGTTGAGCCGAATAACTGTGCAGTTGTTTAAGTACAGCATAGACTTCGCTAGTATTCAAAGCATACTAACTGGAGCCCATATATTAATGTGTTTAGAGTTAGCATTAACCTATTTCACTGACTGAACCACAGACCACAGCAATAAAGCTAGAGAGCTTGAAACAGTTTCTGGAGGTTTTCATTTAGCTGGTTCAGGAGAACTGGTTTGCGCAAAGTTAAAATTATATGGAATGAGATTGCAAGATGAAGCATGCATGCCACACCTTTTCATTATGTTCTCTCTCTTCCCTTTTTTTTTTTTTTCTCTAAATATAACTTTGAGAGGCATTTCAGTTTATTTATACATTTATTATATAAAGCCGATCCCATTTGATTATTTTAGATTACTTGATTTTCTAGTCTGATTTCAAAATTGAAGTTTGCTGAGCTTTCGTTCACAGGACTAGGAAAAAGAATTTCCTGTATTCAATTCACGTGTCATGCAATCAAATAATTTTTTCCGAACCTTTAGGATCTTCCTGTGGCAAAGTCTGAATGATGCTTTGTTTCATCATTTTACAGCCTAAAAAAGACAGAATTTTTTAGGCTAATCTAAAGCTTTTCCTTGCTTTTTAATGTTACTGTTACACTTTAGTAATTTCAAGTTGCTATTACTGATGAAAGTGTATTATAAATATTTTCTTCTACATAGACATCACACCCCCTTTAATTTTGTTAGCTAGTTTCGTTGACTGAGGCTCATTACACACACACACACACACACGCAGACACAGACACAGACGGACGCGCTTGCACACACACATTCTGCTTTGCCCTATCTCAGTTACAGCGTAGTCCTACCCAGGGTCATTACAATGTACACATTACATATTTCTAGCAAACATGAAAATGAATCAAACAGGAGGAGAGATAAGCACAGATAGATTGGAGCCTGCTGAGGAAATAAAAGGCAGTAATCTGCCTGACCACTGGACTACTCTTCCTGGTTGGATTTCAGTGTTCTTTCCCGTTAGTTGCTGCGGAGCGCTGGCTACCCTGAAGTGAAAAATTAAACGACTAGTAAGAATGAAGTAACATTTAGAGGGACAATTATTTGGTATAACTCCAAACCTAATTGTTTCTGAAGTGATGTTTAAACCAACGTCGGCACAAGGCAAGAGCTCCTGGCTCGTGGCCAGCACCTTGTAATGCATATTAGCGTAGATGAGGAGTTCCTAAAAGTTAGAGAGAGGGAGAGGGAGGGAGAGAGAGAGAGAATGTGCGCTTTCAGTGCTCCCTCTGCATTTGTTTGTATCCTCCTCCTGGCCGAGATTAGAGGAATACCTGTGTAGTGCTGCTTTATTATGATTTCTGCTGAGCCTCAGAATAGGTTCTGGTATTTTTTTTAGGTGGACTGCCAGCTGCCGATCTCGCTGTTGACAGTAAAAGCAGATATGTTCCTTGCTCACTGCCATTAGCACTGACCATGACCCTTCACACCAAAACCTCTGGAGTTACCCTGCTGCACCAGATTCAAGGCACTGAACTGGAGACACTGAGCAGACCTCAGCTGAAGATTCCCCTGGAAAGATCGCTCAGCGACATGTATGTGGAGAGCAACAAGACAGGAGTTTTTAACTACCCAGAAGGAGCCGCTTATGATTTTGCTACTACGGCTCCAGTGTACAGCTCTACCACCCTCAGTTATGCCCCTACTTCCGAATCTTTTGGGTCCAGCAGTCTGGCAGGATTTCACTCACTGAACAATGTCCCACCAAGCCCAGTGGTGTTCTTGCAAACGGCACCCCAGCTCTCACCCTTCATCCATCATCACAGCCAACAGGTACCCTATTACCTTGAAAACGAACAGGGCAGCTTTGGGATGAGGGAAGCTGCTCCTCCAGCCTTCTACAGGTAAATGCTACAGATAATTTTTCTTTCTTCTTTAAGCAGATGAACTGAGAAAATTAGAATGTGGAAATCTGTATGCCCTAATCTTTTCTTTTTGTGTAAAGGACCGTGTGATTTAATTGAATCACCCACGATATTTAGACCATAAAAAATACTGTGGAATAAAACAAAACTGTCATTCACAGCTCACTGTGACTGTAAGCTGTAAATTTTGAAAACTGTACGTAAATGAGAAACAAATTGGATAATGAGTATAACTGTTTCCTGGGAAAACATGAAATCGTAATTAATTAAAGAATGGCAAACGACCTCCCTGTTGTAATATATTAGAATTACGTCTGAAGTATACTAAACAGAATGCCATCATCACACATTTCTGGGTTTGAGTGGTTGTTTGTTCAGCTCTTAGCTGGTAGTAAGAGGATTTTTCTCCTCTGGCTTCTTTTACAGTGTGAGAAGTGGCTTATATAGGAAGTAGTTCAGAAGCACAATATCCTTCCTAATGAAACTGTTAGAGTTGACTCAGTGACAGTATTTGAGTCAGTAATCACCTTCATGAGCTGTACTAACAGCTGTGTACGTACTGACCTGCATTTTTCATTGGATGGTGATCTATATTAACCATATTAAATCTGGCATGCTGCATTTCAAAAGACAAGATTTTTGGGCTTTTGTATTTTTGTCCCTCAATAGAAGGGTTATTTTTTTTGTCCGGAATAGAAAGTTAAAAGTATCTTTGAAGGGGGGGGAATAATTTTCCTTGGTTTAAATATTTATTGTCATCTGTGAAAACATTAACATAGTTTTTGAAGTAAGTAGTAGAAACTTATAGAACTGTAGCTTCCAAGAAAATATACTCATACACACCAATACCCACACTATTAATGTTTGTGCAGTGTTGATAGCATAGTTTTGCATCAGCTTATTATACTGGGCTTCAGTGAAACAAAGTGAACAGTTAGATGTAATTTTTTTCCCTAAAATCTGTCTGTATCTGTTTATTTGAGAGATACAGGTGAGTTTGCTAGAAATGGAGTGACTCTGAAAAAATAAAAGAAAATTATTTTTTCCCTGTTGAGGGCCAGACTCTGCCAGACTTATTTGCACAATATAACATGTTACTGTGAACAGCAACGTATGTTCTTAAAGACAGTCTATCTCAGCCTGACTAAGAATCTGATAGCAGAATCTGGTCCAAAAAACCAGATAATGATTGCACTTTTTGCAAATGATTAATTAATTTTGGGGAGCAGGTGGAATAAAGGCTGGTGAAATGATAGGTAACGGTTATATCAGACTGTCCAGTGATCTGTTAACTGAATTGGTTCAAACAAAATGCATTTTAGTGCAACCAAATACAATACCTCTAGGAAGAGTGAATACATGTCAGAGCATAAAGATCTTGAATGATTACCAGTGACTTGAGAGTGAAACTGCACTTTGCGCTTGATTAAAGGGTTTTTTTTACATGAACGTCCAGTGCAAACCTATGGTGAAAAGTGTGTAAGTGACCTTAGATATGTAAACAGTGGAGTAGTGAGTTTGTGGAGTTGAAATACACAGGCAGAAAATGTACTGTAGTTGGGGTATTTTACTTCAGGAGGAATCAAAACCAAGAATCACCTGGAAACAGAAGTTGAACAATGGAAATAATGTCCTTTTATTTTTAAACAGTGAATTGAGGTGAGACACTTCAAAATAAAATTAACGTAATTTTTTAACTACTGGAGCAAACATGTAAGGCCAGTGTTGGATTCCCCATTTCCTGACGTTTCTGATCAAGGATGGGTGTCTCCCTTGAAGATGTGTTTTAGCCACATGCAATTGATGAGGCTTAAGGCAGCAGTAATTAGGTGAATTTATGATCTTGGATATGTGGGTGGTTTATCTGCATACAGTGTTATACAAATGATTTAATGGCCCCTTCCAGCCATAATTCTGTAAAGCGCATCTTATGTGGTAATAAGAAATGTGTATTGAAGTGCTTGCTATGATTATCTTTTTGTTAACAAGCATAGTACTCTTGGAATTAAATTGATAAAAGCTTTGTTTTTTTTCCTTTTCATTTTTGCAAGATTGTATTTACAAAGTTATCACCCTCATAACGTTAAATGTTAGGTCTTTATTCTTGTGTTTTGGCACAAATCCAATCACCAATATTCTGTTAAAAATATTTTGAATAGGTGTTCAGTGTCTGGGAAATATTTAAATATTTAATCACAGGGTTTAAGAACAAGTTCTTTAAAAAATATTATGAAGCATGAATTTCCAATTTACTTTATTCATTTGGCTAATCTCATTGGTTTCAATTGGGTTATGGGAGAAAAGAGAGCATGGGGCAGTGTAATCTGGCAATGAATAAATTGATGCTGGATATTGGAAGATGTCTAACTACCAAAATGGTGAGTTTCTGAACAACCTACAGTAGGAATGGTAAAGGCAAAAATTCTCAATCCAAAAGCCCTAACAAAATTTAAAATGGATCATGATCAGTTTATGATATGGCTGCCTGCTTCTATTATAAGTAATGTAACCTAAGATCCAGAAGGACTCCTCTGCAATTCTCATTTACTTTTCTGTGTAACAGAATTGTGCTGTTTGGCTTGTAAGACAGAAATATTTGCATTGCATCATCCTGTTGTACTCTGGATTTGAGATGCAGATGCTGCATTCAGTGATACAAGTGGCTAGGACAATAAATAATCATTGTAGGTTGGAGCTGAAATTATATTTTGTTATTACTTCGATAAAATGTTAAAAATCTTCAGTCACAAAACTCAAAAATTACTATATGTGATAAGGAAAACTTTTAATGTAATTTGATTTTGTTAATAAGTATTCAGAATCTGCTGACTATAGACACATGTGTAGCTACATGTGTATTAATTCTGAAGTTATATTTTATTTCTTTCAAATACTGTTTCCTTTTCCAAAAGGCTTTGTCTCTTATTGCAAGATAATGACAGGCTTCTATATCTAGCTGGAGAAGACAATGATACATAAAGAAAAGAATGATTTTGTAAAGAATACAAAAAATATACCAATCTCCTCCTTTCCGGAGTCTCTAAATCATGGGACATCAGAGAAAAAAGAAGGGGCTTAATTAATTCAAATTGTGCTGTCTTTAACTTGACCCTTTTTATGTCTGACCTTGTGGCTGTTTTTATAGGGAGCCAAATTAAATACCTTTCCCTTATCTTACAATGTCTGTATCTTCCAGTAAAAGGGTAAAGACATAGCGCTAGTTCTGTTTTTAATTCTCTTCAAATCTCACTATATTTTTTTTCTTAATCATTTTGATAGTATTTTTTTTTATTAAATGCTGACTAGTAATGGTTATTATTACAGGAAATTTTGTACTCATGGATATTACAGTAAATTAATTGAAAGATTTGTTTTGTTCTTAACTATTAAGTTTGAGTTCTGGTCATTTCTGGTTATTTCCTTGTGCTTTTTATTCATTCAGGGAAAAACTAAGAAGCCTTTCAGTAGCTGGTTTACCTCAGTAAATTCCTACAAGCAACAGCAAAGATGAATCCTTTTTGTTCTGCCAGGGTGTGACGTCCCTGTGTCATCCCACTGAGTTTGCATTTCTCAGATCTGAAGTAAAATCATGCCTGTATTTCAGGCTGTCTGTAGCCTGTGTTTGGTGGTGCTTCCAAATTTGGCCAATACCCATGTAAAAATGGACTGCACCTACCAGCTACCTGAGGAGGGAGTAGTCTGTCAGTCTGTGGTGAGTGACAGAGGCAGGGCAAATCAGTGTACAAACAGAAATACCAGATGAAAAATCGTTCATTGCTCCCTCACTTTTAGTGGCTAGTTTGTGAGTATCTTCTAGGACCTCAGGATCTATCTTTAGATTAATATAATAAAGTATTTATTTAGCTTTAGTCCCAATTATCATACTGAAAATGACTCTGAATCATTTTAAAGCTGTTGTTCCAATCAATATGATCACAGCTTTAATTTTTAAAGCTTGCTAAATTTGAGAATGATTGCAAATGTAGATCGATCCCTCTTCTGCTGTAATGCATAAATCCATCAGTCCAAAAAATCGTTACTTAACCCAATATGTATTTTTTTACCTTGTCCGATTCATTCACTCATTCATGCTGAGTTCTAAACAAAGTGGATTTTTCCAAATTTTAAAATTAAAAGAATGTTACAATGAATGCAAAATTCAAAGGTATATTTTCTTTTTTTTGTGCAGTATAAGGTATTCCATAATGTGAAGGAGTACTGTGTAACGTAGTGTTTTGTTTGGGGTTTTTTTGTTGTTTATTTTTCTCTAAAGCATCGATCTGTTCTAAGGTCCCCTCTCGAACACAGTTCGAGTGTTCAGGCAGTTTCTTGAACACTCAAAGTGTTCCTGTTTTCAGAGCTTATACTGATATCCCTGACAATTTCACAGCAATAGATGACTGTAGTGAAAGAGATAGGAAAACATGGAGTTATCCTATCTCATAGAAGTGTTGTAAAGATAAACCTGTTAAATGTTCTTAGATACTCACACATTACAATTATGAGGGACTTGCACATACCAGCTTTGCTCTTTCTGCAGCTTTTCTTAGGGAGTGTGCTGATGTAGGATCCTGCTGCAAGTGTGCTTGCACCATGAAGTCAGCAACCCAGATTTTTGAGGAGCACATGTGTTCTGTGCCTCGTTGTGCCCCTGAATAAGGCCAGGCAGCAGTGGAAAGGGTAAGGGGGCTGTGATGCTTGCTCATTATCCTCCTTTCCGCCAAGGTAGGGAGATGAATGTCACCTGCTCTCTCTGAGCTTCCTTTCCAAAGTTTTCTTCTTATTGAAGAAATCTTTCTTCACTTCTTTAGCAGATGTATTTTTTGTGTAAATCACAGGTTCAGGAAGTGCTCCATGTGTCCTTTCCATGTGGATTTAAAACTTGTGGTTAAAAACATGTTTGTTCAGGCAGCCTGGGTTGACGGGGTTCATCTGATTAAATATAGACGCCTAGGGCTTGATTCAGTTTTCTACTCCTT